GGAATCTGTGTCTTCAAACAAACAAATCCTGGCTGAATGATCAAACTACTGGATCTACAAAGGTTTTGTGCACCATAGATAAGATGTGCAAAGCGTTTTTTTCCTACTCAAGTGTGGAAGTTATGTGTGCTACTGGCAGTAATGGCTCTAAAAAAATCCTGGTAACGAGATGCATTCAATTATGATAAAAATAATACAATAACAAAAAAACTAATAATATTAATGATATTAAAGAATAAAACAACCAAAAAAGGAGAAGGACCCCTGAAAACTTACAGCCGCTGGATAAGGCTCTAAACAGCTGGATTTACCTCCACCAACTCATCACAACACCCTTTTGACCTGAAATATTAAAAAACCAAGCTGCAAACCCAATAAGTATTTCATGCATCTTTAATGTGCTTTCTTTGGAGTCAGAAAGGCAATTTGTGGAGCAAAAAACTTTTAGTAGAGATAAGAGATTCTCCTTCTCCTCATGTTTTTTTTACCATGTTTTTTTATTTTTTATTTTAAAAGCATAAAAATATTCTTCCAGCTACATTTATCTTTTTCATACAGGCATCTTTTTCTCACTAATATAAATTTTAATTTTGAACATTAAAACATGTTCACATGAACACAGACTCTCTATCCATCATCTGTCATTGCACCAATGCCTCTTTTGTGGCCATGTTGACTAAGTTTGAACCTGACTGTCAAACATGCTAAATATAGATGCAAACCACTTACAGGTTTAATAACTCGCTCTATGACTTCTGTTTACCTTTACATATCCTCAAACCAGATTTTTGTGCTTTTAGGTCATAAGAATATGATCTGCATCTTCATGAAGGCACATTGGAAAAATGTTTGTAAGTGAAGTATGTTAGGATTATTTTAATTGATGATGTATGAGTCAATTAAACCCTAATAATACCTGCCTGTTATGCATCTAAACTAATGTTTTAGCAAGTAGTTTATCTAATTAGGAAAGTTCTTCTGTCAGGATAAAAAGTTATCTTCTGTATGTGGCAAAGATTTGGGAATGGAATGAGAGCGGTGTTGTTTATCTAAGAACAAAATAAAAATATTTTGATAAGGCTGGAGCCATGGATGTCTCCTCATTTATAAACCTGTATGATGTGATGATGTGGCTGGAGTTGTATAAAATGCTTATTTAACTGTGAATTGGGGCCACTTCAACACGATGTGAGCCTGGTTGGTAAGCAGCTGCCTTCTGTAACTATAAGCAACTTCTCTGATCTGAGTAAGATCACAGTTTCTATCAGAATCTGTTATAAAGTCTCTTGGTTATTTGATAGATATACATTTTAAAGGGTTATTTAAAGAGTTACATCTGGTTTGAAGATCTGCTTTGTGCATGCTGTGTAGTTTGGACTAGTGTTTATAAATCTTTGGTAATTAGGACAGGGAAAGTTCCCTCAGACAGTAAAACATTAAAATGAAAAAATAAAAACAGATATGAGGATGGGTTTGCTAATATTTTCACCCAGGTAAAAACATCCACTATGTTTTGGTGTGCTTTTTTCTATGATAATAATGTCAGCAATCAGTTTTCATGAATTACCCAGCATACCATCAATACTTGGTCCTTTAAAAAATGTTGTCACTTAAAGAAAATTACATTTCTTTATGTAGACACACAGCACTTTCAAGGGCACTTTATAATAATGTTGTCAAACTCCATAACAACAAGTCGCTGGACAAATGTCTTTCATTGATCACAACAGGAAACTCATTCTGTTGCAATAAGATGGATTCTAAAACTGTTTCTGAGAATTTATAACAGAGATGCTCCACAACATGCATGTGTTTCAACAATAATTATAATTTAAATAACAATTTATATTGACTATCTAAGTGAAATAGCTTACAAATGGCCTTGACAGTCAAGAACTGTTATTCTGATAAAAAAGCGCATTTGAAAGCTAGCAGTGGAAGGACCTGTCTCGTAGGATCTCTCTTGTTCTGTGGGTCAGTTAAGAAGAATAAGAATTCAGTCTTAATTAGACTGCATTCAGCCCTTCAGTCCTTGAAATTGGCGGCAAAAGCATAATTCTACATATGAAACCCAAACTGAATAGTAATAAAGTATTTGATTTTGGAACCATTGCCTTAGTTGCAGTCTTAATCTTTATACACAGACAACTATGTATATCTGATGGTTACACAACCATAAAACTAAGTAAGAAGGAAACAGCTGAAATGAGACAATAATGGCTTGAA